AACAATCAGCAGTGTTAATGAATGAAAGGTAATGATTTTCATCATTTTTGTTTAAGTGAGAGAAGAAGAGATTGTGTTGGTTTGTGCTTCTATTTTAAGGGACATGTCAATTAAAGCAGATACGTTCTTTGGGTGAAAAAGTTTCACCCAATCAAGATTGTTTATCAAAAACATTTCTGGAAAATTTTTAATCAGCTTCACACCTCTGCACTAGACTTGCTCTTCAAACTCAAATCACCTATCAAGATTAGCGTGCCTGAGTTAGCCTGCAGACTTGCTTGTTAAAATCCCTGTGGATTGTGTTTTCAATGAACAAATCAAAGGGATTCATGATTCCTTTCTTTCAGTTCAATGGTGAGACAGTTTCATTTTACAGCTCCTGCTCAGAGTGCTACTAAGAGTTTTAGTACAATATGGGTGCATTTTCTACTATCTATTTTTTACTGTCACTTCCAAACAAGGAAAAAAGATCATTTGCGATCATTCCATGCTGAACATTTTAGACGCAAATCCTGCAGTCATTAGTCTTTATGCAGCCAGAGGTCTCATATACGATGAGAGATTTGCCTGATTAAGGAGCAGAGGATTTAACCTTCCATGAGAGATCCAGTTTAATGAAATGCGTATGGTGCAGCCATATCGGTAGTCTGGAAAACATTTCAGAAAAATGCTATTGCCTGTCCCCAGCAAACAGCCAATTCCACCAGCTTTAACTAAAATTCCTCAGCAGTTTTTTAAATACATCTTATATTAAAAAAAATTCAGAGCTACATTCTTTTGTTTAACAAACCTGACAAAAGGAAGCTGAGTCAGACTCACTCCAGGATACACACCTCAATCTGTGACAGAAAGGAAAACAGCTACCAAGTGGAAATGACTAAGAGCACTGCACTGCCCTGATTAAAAGTCCCAGAAATAATAACACAACGTTCTGCATAGATTATGCTTTCCACATGGAGCAGTAATTGTTATTTTTTAAACTTTAAGTAATGTTTCTTCCAGAGAGGCTTCAGACAACGGTCAGATACAATTGCACATTTAAAATGGGAAGGATTTTACAATGATTATCTGAGCTGTTCAAAATTAGCATTTCAGGTTTATTTTTATAACCAAAGGAAAGCTTATGCTCTCCCCTACCATAATTCTTAGCTGGTCATAAAAATACTGACACAAGTATTACTGCTGTGACTGAATTTCAAATCTTGGCAGACCTTCATTTGCACCATGCCGGTAACGTGCTGGTTTTAGCAAGACAGACTACTAGGTCTAATCTTTACAAACTGTTACAAAAGCATTCTTGAGCTGTATTGCCAAGTGTGAGTCGAATATTAGGATGATTGCTTTTGAGAAATTAAAACATCATTAGTTGCAGCTGTATCAACAGCTGTCTTTGGTTTTGATGACTGTGCTTATTGAGAAGGGCTTATTTATCATGTGGAATTTCACCGTAACTAGAATTACTTGCAAAGAAAAAAAAAATCCATGCTCACTCAGTGAAAGGCATGGGCAGTTTTATCAACTTTTCTGGAATTTGTGCTTGTTAGGAAAGCAATGAACTTGTTCCTACAACTACGGTTTCCATGAATTCTTTGAGGAGAACTTCACAGACCACTGATCAGATGGGACAGAGAACAAGCACTACAGTGAAAAACTGAAACAAGATGTAATCAGAAGCTATTATCATAGAGTCACCCTGCTTTGCTGGCTACGCAGAAAGTAATGAAATTGGAGTTTCAGATCACCTGATCAATCTCCTCAGCAACAGTAAAATATAATTCTGAAGAAAGATGCAAGCTTTAATCTCTCATTTATTCTGTGCAGTTATCAATTCCATTAACTTATACTAACCCACTCACAGGTATCTGTGTATAGTGAGAGCAGTCAAATTTAATAGATTTAGCATAGTAAATGAGGGCTGTGTTTCTACCCATTATAACACATTATTCCTTTCAGCAGTAGCAAGATGACAGTTATTACTTCAGATTCCCAGAAATGTCAAATTTAAACTATGCACAAGCACCTTCAAAGCAAAGTTGAGTTTTACCCCCTTTATCCAAGAAAAGAAAGACTCCTTTAAACTTTACTAGCATAAGTAGTCTGGAAGACTGCTCAGACAGCAGCATTTAAATAACACATGCTAACATTATAATGTTTCATAGAAAGAGATGCTGATCTGAACCAGACACATCTAACCCAGGTGCCACAAAGTCAAAAAATAGCAGCTAATGAACATCTATGGGAAAACCTCAGGGAAAAAAGCAAATGATCCAGTAGGGACAGCTGGATATAACATGGAAGAAAACTTATACAGCAGGGCTGAACAGACCAATGAAAAAGGCCTGGTGTCATTTGGAAAAAGGAACAGCAGACAAACACTGTGAAATGCCAAGTAAATAATTATCGCACCTTTTACTCATGCCACCAGCTCCATCCATGAGTCACACAGAATAGTGCAAAGTTGTTAGATGTTAAGGATTCTATTCATTTTTTACCTATTCCTTTCACTTCCAGAAGTTTGACTATTAAAAAAGATTTCATACATAAAATGAGGCACCTAAAAGGAGAGTATACCTGCCAATGTTGTCTGATCATTCATAGGATGTTTCTCGTTAGCAAAACTTGGTGTGAATTAATAATATTTGGTTTAAAACATTATCCCCTTGCTTGCAAAAGTCACCAGTCACCAAGGAATTTTTCCAAAGTCTTATGATTTGGCCCTAATGATAAAGAGAAAGAACTCTGAAAGTCTAAGATCTACAAGAAAACCTTGCCTGCATTTTGAGTCAGCAGCTTTGAAAACATGATGAAATTCACTGCCTAGGAAGCACAGCAGTGCAAATATCTGGGATTAACCAGAGGGCATGGGGTGGTCTGAACCATTAGGAGCTTTGCTGCCTGCTGGAGAGGGCTGCAAAGATAGGTTCTTTGTTCGGTAAAATCTCAATGGACATTTCCTCATAGCCGGAAAGAAGACTTAAAGAATCAGTTCAGCAGAGATGAAATCTATAACCATAATGTGGAAGATTTTGAGATATTAAATCAGTTTTCTAAACTGATTTCTAAAATTTAAATGAAAGTATCTTCCTCCGATAAATGGTTATAAACTTATAAATGGTTTTCAGTTATTCTACTGAGCTCTGAAACAGAGCATGCTGAAAATGCCTTTAGAAACCTTCTCACTTCTTTCCTTGGACTTCTCAATAAAGATAAAACAAGTCAACTAATACAAAGCTTATTTAGCAGGCATCAAAACAGACCTTGATAATCTAGGCCTGTTGCCTCAAGGCATATATAGAGAACATAGGGGGTTCCTCTTTTCCTTTTCTGAGCAGTGGACGTGAAGGGCTCCCTTATCCTCATCCTTTGTTTAGATTAGCTAAATAGCATGCTTACTCCCAAGTCCACAGATACGAACATCAAAGGCTATGCAACGGTTGTAAATACAACTGAAGTCATTTGCAAAAGTAAATCATATCTGGGACTGTTGTCTGCTGTGGGTACCAGATTATCACTGAGCTGCATCCTGACCAGATAACTGCAGTTCCCTGGAAAACTCCTGTCAACATCCTCCCTGCTCTTCTCTCAGCAATGACACAGGAATGGCTTATTTTCTTGTAAGGAAACTTAACTCTAGTTGGTCTCCTTATGGAAGACTTTGAAAAATGTCTCCTCATTAGTTGCTTAACTTTTGTGAATAATTAATGTATCAAATTTTTTAAAAAGCCATTCATCTTTGCTGCTGTACTTCCTAAAAATGTGAAACAATCTAACCAACCTCAGCCTTCTAGCAAGCCAGGAAATCAATGCCATCACCTGTGCTGGACTGTGATGACAAATAGGGGGAAGAGAGCATTTAACTGTGGAACATTATTATTTAAAGTCCTACTTAAGATACATTGAACATTTGCCTACATTTATTACAACTGGTTCAAAAAAACTGAGTTTTGAGTTAAGTCCCACACTTCTCAGATTTTCTTCTGCATTATTTAGTAAAAAAAATTCCTCTTCCATTTGTACTGTACAATGCCAGAGATACATCTTTGCATTCAGTTTTAACATGCAGATAGGGGTCAGAAAACGGCAGATGGCACTGAAGAATGCATCACAGTCCCACAGAAGGGCTTGGGTACCCAGGATAGGCTGCAGAAAAGCCCACTGGCTCACTGAACAATATCCTGACTTAAGTTTTATGTGGGTGACAGTATTAGAGACACTGATGCCTGAACTTTGCTGAGCCTCATTAGTGCTCAATGGCTGCCACTGCCCAGCAAGTCAGCCTCAGGAATGTAACAAAACACTGAATTTTTCCCTTCTGTATGCCCTGAGTGGTCTCGAGACTTAAAACTGACCATAATCAAGATGTTACAACCATCTTCTCCTTCTGGAAGGCCCACCTACACTGTCTTGCTCTGGGGTCATAATTTTACCTGTGAAAAAATACTGTTAAATTTCATTTTTACATCCAGTGCTGACAGAGCTTTACAGGAACCTGGTCTCATTCGTATGAGGGCTCTAGCTTTTTTGCTTGCAGGTATAAAAATCCTTATAGACAGGACATCTCCAAACTGCTTTGAAAATTCTGTTTGTACAAAACAGGCATGGTCTGCGCTGATCAAATATCAGACACTTTTAAAGTACCATTCAGATGTTTGCTAACTCCTAAAACTCTTTATAAACGATACTAAATAACATACCAACTCTTCTGTTTCTCTCAGAGCCAATTTCCTTTTATTCAGCTCCCTCATTAAAGTCAGCAACAAATAAGTAGGTATAGCAATAATAAGGCTAAGTTTATCTTGTTTCCTCCACTCCCTTTTCTCACTGTATTACTAAGACTTGGAACAATAACAGGATGCCGGGATGCAGGATGGGAAAAGGCTGACTCCCAGCTGGAAAACCTTGGTGACTGGAGAGCTGAACACTCCCAGTATTGCTTAACGAGAAGAGAAGTGGATTTCTCTATTTGATCTTCATTTTCTGTATACTGCTTAATATTTTGGGATACTGTTGATTTTAGTTTGCCTGATTTGGGAACAAACCGAAGCTCTACCAACTCTGTCTCAGGTAAGGGATAAACAGTATTTGCTGTCCTTCAGCTATGAAGTTCATTTCAAAGGTTTTTTACCTCCACCAAAAATCTCTTCTAATGTCTTAAATAATTTAAGAAATACCAGCAGACAGGCTATGAATGTTATACATATCCGCAGAATCCTTTGGGCCTAACATTGATGCCACTTAAACCAAATTAAGTGCAGACAACAGCAGAGCTGTTTACAATTCACGCTGGAAGAGGAAAATCTCTGGCTTTCTTGGGCTATACCACAATATTCCTAGATTGTTTAAAAGAAGAGACATTTTATGCTTTTTTGTAGTTCTGTTTTGTAATATTTAGATTATGTTGCCGATGGTCATTCATAATGGAAAAGGGACAGAAATTATACTGCAAATTGCACCTGTACACCCTTTAGGAAAGGATTTCACTTGCAGCGTGGACAGTTACAGGCTTAGTACTGTTTTGAGTGAGCAGGTGTAGGCTATGCTATGATTTGATGCAATATGTTTTATCAAAGTGGGGTTTGACGGGTTGACTTGGTATCTGTCTTTAAGATGCTATGGCTTTATTGTGACCAATGCCAAGAGGAGGTGAAAGCCACCATGTATATTAGCCAGCTTTGGCATATCTCTCGGGCTAAGAGATTTTTTTAAGGCTTAGAGGGAGTTTACATAAACACATCAGTGACTTGGTCTCCTAAATCTCAAGTTTAAAGTGGCCCAGGTACTTTAGCACCCTAACCCTGGACTACCAGGTTTTACAGCCCCTGTTCTAAAAGACCAGCCATTCTTATTTCAGAAGTTTCTTGATCTCAGTGGTCCAAAAAGAACCATTTTTTCTGACGAGGTATTTTATGAGCAGTGGCTTGATACAAAAAGTTGATTGAAAAGGCTTTTATCTTATCCTAAAGATAGTGTAGCAAGTCCCTGAGCTGTACAGTTTGCAGAGACAAAGTTTGCTGTACAGCTTGCAGAGACAAAGCATTTATGCATAAGAGATGAACTGATACTGCTTTTTCTATAAGAACTCTATTCTGCAATAGCGGGACTGTCCTGACAACAGTACCTTACCGTGCTGGTTGTCACGCTGTAATAAAGATAAAGGAAGGAAAGAAATGCAAGGAAAAAAGATCTGGAAGAAGATGAATTTCTGTGAGAAAATCTGTTCCATTCTTAGCTACCGAAAACATTGAAAGTTGGTTGCTGCACTTAACAAAGGTATAGTTAATCAATGTGTCCCTGCCTCTACTGATTATAAATCATTATATCAGCGTCTGTAAAAGCATACAGTATTATAGATGTTCATGTAAGAAAAAATATTAGACAAAAGCAAGGATACTCCTATGATTTACAAAACCTTCTCATCTTAGGTTAATTTGTGCCTTGTAACAACAAGCAATATACCAGAAACAAATCACAGAAATGCTGACTTGCAATTTATCTGCAGTATCTCCAGGAGTTACTTTTTATCCTTAAATAAAGGGTGACCAACAGGAGAAAAGGACACAGGATTAATTTAGCATATGAAAGCCTTAGAATAGTACAGTATACTGTAGAGAAGAATGTGAAGTTACAAACAATAAAACAAATTCATTTGAAAGCAAAAGATAAACTCAATTAACAAATCAATCAAACCTGGGCTTTATTTTTCAGAGTGCTACAGCTGCACTGCATTGCAACAAGAAGTATTTGCCGAAGCTTTGCTCTTTAATATAAGATCATAAAACTGTTTCTTAAACATTTTAAAACAAATGCTAGAACTGAAATTATGCCATGAAATAGCTACACGTCACTCAGCAATCTGCAGCTTGCAGAGGACTAGATGCAGGCTCAGTGCTAAATAGGCAGCTTAGGCAGAGAAAGTTGCACCCAAACAGTTAACAGGTTTGTTGCCAGGTTTGCTTCACATCCTGCCTCTGTTGAGTGAAACAGAACTGAAAACAGGATATAGGTAAAAATCACTGGGCATGGTTTAGAAGCTCCTCTGATTTAGAGCACTTACGAAACAAAGGACTGCGCTGTGCATCCGTAAATCAATTACTTCAATTAATATTTCAAATGAAAAATAGAAAAACTTTTTTAAAATTCTTTTTTCCTGTTGGGGTACATGGCTTAAACCAGGCCAGCTAATACTTTATATTTTCTAAAAAAGCAGAAGTTCACAGAATAGAGGTAACAGATTATTTCTAGCAGCTGAGCTTTCTGTAAGGAATCTTCACGGTTATTTTTGTCATGCATTCATAACTCCGGTTTTTGCCCAGGTTCTAGAAGTTTAATTCAGAGGTTCAAATATTAGTGCCAAGAAGAAAATAAGAGGTTCTCTGTCTTCGTGAGAAATTTGTTGGCCATGAAAATATTTTGGTGTATTTTTTTGTAAAACAAATGTCTTTCCCTTTGTTATCCTTGTGGGTTTACAAATCAAAAATCCCTCAAAGTTTAGCCCTGACATGACTGCTTTCCCTTCTACCCTAGAACACAGCAGACAGCAATTATTTGTGTAAACTGCAGATTTGCTAGGACAGAGAGATGCCCAGCTCACAATCACTAAGGTAAAACAATTCCCCACACATGCCTTTGAAGAGCTGATCAGAATTTGCACTAGGAGAACAGACCTTAGCAAATCCAGAGCTGGATACTAGTTTGATCCATGATGAGAGCTTGCTTGATCCATCTGTGGACTTCAGTTCAGCACCCTACTCCATTCGAAGGGCCTGTGCAGGCATATTTCCACTGCAAACACAGAAAGCAGACAACACTCTGGTGCCATAGTCATGATCAGGAGCCACCATTTTTGCTGCCAAGAAACTTGCAGGCATCCTGCTCCAGGGCCCGTCCTCAGCACAAGTACCAAACCCACTGCAAACCCAGGAATCCCACCAACAGGACTAACGCTAGGAATAATGATGTGCAAAATGAATGCACATCACTCACCAACCCATGTGCCACCCACCTCCTAAATTCTGCAATGAGTCTGATCTTGAAATACAAAAAAAAACCCCAAAAATTGTGAAGAACCTGTTTACAGTTCTTCAGTCCAAGAATACAAATTAGCCCTTTCATTCAATGAGAACCTGAGCTTCACTCATCTTGATCTGAATTTAAAATTTGTCAATAAGCATGGAACTAGCTATATTTTGAATGTAAGATTTTGCTGAATATTTTAAGTAAGTTCTCTCTGTAACATACTTCTGAGATGGATGTTATTTGTGCCATGAGTCTACTTTGTACATATGCTGCTATAAACATCTGTTGGGCAGGCAGTGAGAAGACTTGAGGCCCAGCCCTCCTACGTGCTAGTTAAAGCCCATGGATGTTCACAGGAACAGAAATAGTTCAAGAGCTGTGTTTTCCAGGGCTGGGTAAAAGACAGAGGAAGGGCAGAGGGGAAACTTATCCACCCATTGCAGGCGTTCACATTGCCTACACTTTCGGTACTCCGAGTATATCCGAGTAAGGATTTACAATCAGTAAACCAGAAAGAGTCAAGCAAGTGGATGGACACTCTGGCAGACTTTTCTCCAGACAAGTATTTTAGTATGAGATAGACAGCAAAACTGTCTTACAAAAGATTAGGAGCTGTATGTGAAAGCGTTATCAATTATCATCCATGAAAGGGTTCAAAACTTATAGTGAAAAATGACTGATATTTTAGAGAAAAGGCAAGCATGGTTACCTGGGACACACTGCAGAAATTGTACAGGACCTTTCCAAAAGACCAGTGGAGAGGAAAGAGTATTCTTCTGCCCTAACATTGTTATTTGAAATGCAAGGAGTTACAGAGCACCACCATAGTTAGAGGTACACCAAAAGCAGAAATGTTTTAAATTCTTCATTTTTCAAAATCCAGAGAGGTCAGTTTTATTGTCCCAGTCTAGTTGTCATCAAAACCCTCCTGTTCCTGTGGGATTTCACCACCATCCTCTGCCAAAACTTTAGGAGAAAGAGCCCTCTGTTTCTATTACACACTCTTTTAAAAAGCCTACTATCAGTCTCCACAAACTACCAATAGCCCATCTGGCTTTGCCCCCACTGAAGTCATCCATTTCTCTGCATCCTCCTCTCTCCCCAAGCCCACCAGCAACATCTGGAATGGTCCTCCTGACACCCAGCAAAGTTCACAGGGCGCAAGGTGGGTTATCGGCAGCACACACAGGCCCTTGTCCTTATTGTGTTTGACAGTGTAAAGGGAAATTCCACTTCCACAGTATGTCTGGAGGATACAATTGAATTCCTTCTCCTATCTTTGTCCACATTTCTAAGCAATGCTTTGGTAGGGTCAGTCTTCCTTTTCCCCTTCCTTTTATGATGCCATCTGCTATGAATTTGCGTTCTGGAAATCCTCTAGGAGTCCAAAGTCTACCTTACAGCATACTGCTTGAAGAGACTAAGCTGCCCTCATGCAAATGATAGGAAATCCTGTCATTGATAGGAATTGTTCCTGTGATAGGTTCAGCTTCACTGGCAGAATTTCCACTGGCACAGTTTTAGGTTAGCTTCTCCATTCTTTTTGTGGGATACTCCCTCCCCCTACCTCCAGTCCTAGACCTGAATTCAGAGGAGATTTGCATTACCTTACTGGCTTTTATTGTCATTATCTTTCAGATATATATGATCTGTCTGGAAGAGAACCTGTTTACTCACGCTAGGGTTAGACCAACCAATCAATACTACTACTAAGGTATCAGACTTTTCACCACCTAACCTCTGAATCCAAACCTATAATGAAATAGTATATATTGTCTATTTGCTCAGTACTGTTAGTTTAGGTTTTTAGGCTGTCATTAAAACATAAACAAATACTGCTACATTATGCAAATTTTAGTATCATACAGATTACCAATGCACTCCACCTAAAACAGCACAGAAATTAAGAAGCGAGGGCAGAAAGTAGAAAGCACAAAAATCAGGAATGATTTTTCTAATGGGTTCATTTTACAAAGACAATAATGTGAACTTGACAGTGACAAAGCTAGTGCAGAGCCCTATCATCTGTAGCACCATTTAACAAACAC